AGGAAATGTAATCACATATATCACCAATATGTACTAATAAAAATATATTTTAAAAAACAAAAACCATTAAATCTCTCTACGTCTTTGCACAGATTAGCACAGGATCAGATTCTTCATAAGCATTAATATAAACTGCTATGCTAATTACTAGAAAAGTTAATATGAATACTCTATCAACTCAGCTTTAGCAAACATTTTCAGATATCCAGCTCTCCTTTTGAATGTTATGTCCTCTAAACACCCGTTTCTTTGTTCTTTGTTTTTTTTTTTTTTTTGGAGCATGCTACAACCTCATACACCATTATAGCATTTAACTCTACAATCAGATAGTTATTAGATATTTTCTTCTTTCTTTTTAACAGTGGCAAAGTTTCACATTTATTAAAGGTAAGAAAAAAACAGGCAAGGGGGAAAAAGGGGGCTCTGCAGAGCAAGTTTGGGCCAAGCAAAATGGCGTGAAAAAATAAAAATAAAAAATACACCCTACAGTGTAGGGCGGACTATCATGAAGAGGTATGACAGCCTTATTTTCTTTTTCAGCATCTAGAAGATAGTCTGAACATATTAAGCTATTAATTATTTGTAGGTGAATTTTACTTAGAATATACTTTATTATAGAAGTTAAAATATAGGTAGTTTCACAATTTACTCTTTATTATGAAGCTGTTAACACATGCAGGTAACTAATAATAGAACTGACATGAAATTAACTTGAGTATTTACTGTCTATTACACCATTAATATTTTTTTGTCTATTTTCATTTTAGTGTTTTTGTGGGGTTTTTTTGGTACCGGGGATAGAACTTGGGTCCTTGCACTTGCGAAGCAGGTGGTCAAACCACTGAGCTAAATCCCCAGCCCTCTCATTTTAGTGTTTTTTTGGGGGAGATTAAGTTTTTTTTATTTTTGTGGTAATAGAACTTGAACCCAGGGTCTGGTACGTGCTAAGCTAAATATCATACCTTGTAAAAAGTCAAAGTTTAATTGAAATAGACTGTTTTGTTTTGTTTTGGTTTTTTGGTACAGGGGATCGATCTCGGGTTCTTGAGCTTGTGTAGCAGGTGGCGAAACCATTGAGCTAAATCCCAGGCCCTTTAATGACTTGTAATACTCTAATACTTTATTCATCAATTCTCATTTTAAAAAACAAGTTATTAGTAAATGTAGTAGTTATTGTTTAAGACACATGCCAAAAGTTTTATTTTATTTTATTTTTTTCAATGCTTATCAAATCCAGGATCTTAGCACTAAGCTACATCCCTAGCCCTTTTAAAATTTTGATGGAGAATCTCACCAAATTGATATGCCGGGGCTCAAATTTGTGATCCTCCTTCCTCAGCCTCCCAGAATCCTGGGATTACAGATATTGCTACTACTCCAGGCAATTGTTTTGTTTCTTAAATTTTGGAATTTAAAGTTGTTTTTTTTGGGCCGGGGATTTAGCTCAGTGGTTTCGCCACCTGCTGCGCAAGCGCAAGAACCCGAGATCAATCCCCGGTACCAAAAAAAAAAAAATGATAAAGTTTTTTTTGAGACAAGGTCTCACTATGTAGTTCAGACTGGTCTTGAACTCATTATGTAGCCCAAATTGGCCTTAAACTCACAGCAGTCCTCTTGGTTAAGCTTCTTGAGTGCTGGGATTACAGGTGTACCACCACCATACCCAGCTAGAGATTTAAAAAATCTTTTGAATTAATACTTTGTTGTCCTAGCAACACACACTATATATAAAAAAACTAATATGAGCCATGCAAGGAACCATAAAAAAGATGTCTTCTTACATATCAAATTTAAGAATATCTAAAAGTTAAAAAAAATCCTATATTCTCTTTTTTATCTCTTTATTCCAACCAAATTTGATGATAAAGTACCTTTAAGGGCTGAGCATTTAGCTCAGTGGTTCCACTGCCAGCCTCACAAGTGCAAGGTCCCGAGTTTGATCCCTGGTACCAAAAAAACAAACGTATCTTTAAGGTAGTTTTTATTTTAGGCCAATTTTCAAAAACCTCTCTATTGATATATAACTTATGTAGAAGTCCACTTCAGGGCCAGGGATTTAGCTCAGTGGTTCCGCCACCTGCCTCGCAACTGGAAGGACCCGAGTTCTATCCCAGGTACTAAAAAAAAAAGTCCACATAAGTAAAGAACTTGCTTGTAAATTGTCACAACTGAAGAGACCCATGTAACATGTGCAGGTCAAGAATATTATTAGTCCCTCTAAAAAGGTTTTTGTTTTGTTATGTCTCCCCTCATTCTTATTGCTGATGATCAAACCACCAGGACCTCATGCATGCTAGAAAAGGATTAGTCCTTAAAGATTTTATTCATTTATTTATTTTGGTGCTGGAGATTGAACCAGGGCCTCACACTTACTAGACAAATGTTCTATAACTGAATTAAATTCACAATCCCCCAAAAGGTTAATTTTTAACCATATGTATATGTGTACAGTATATAAACAGAGTCTTAAACTTAAGAGACTTAGATGTCCTGGCTCTAACTTCATTACTAACTGCAAGTGTTACTTAGGCAAGTTAGTTCTTTCTTCCTTTTTTTTTTTTTTTTTGGGTTCGGTTTTTTGAGACAAAATCTTGCTGTGTAGTTCAGTCTGGCTTTGAACTCACTATGGAGCCCATACTGGCCTGGAACTTGCAGCCACCCTCCTGCCTCAGCCTCCCAAGTACTGGGATTACAGGCATGCACTACTACGCCTGGCTCTTTAAGCGAGTTATTTCAACTTTTTGGAGACTATTCCCCATCCCTAAAGTGAAGGAACAAGACTCGATATTTTATTATGGCTTTAATTCTTTAAAAATGCAAAAATATGGAGTACTGTGATATAAGTGTTTTGAGAGGTCAGAGATGAGACTAAATTTGATTACTTTCTAAAAGTTTAAGTGAAACAAAAGACATACTCTAAAGTTTTTCCTTTTTCTTTGTTTTTCCAGGTTAAATTTCACACTATGTGCTGACTGTATCTACAGAAGATAATTTAAAAAAAGATAAACTTTTTTCAAAGGTTTTGATTCCAGTGGAATCTTTGCTTTAGATTTTGTGTGTGTGTGTGTGTGTTAGTGAATTGTAACTCCAGAAGCAATGCCTGTACAAGCTCCACAATGGACGGATTTCCTTTCCTGCCCAATTTGCACTCAGACTTTCGACGAAACAATTCGAAAACCTATCAGTTTGGGTTGTGGCCATACTGTCTGCAAGATGTGCCTGAATAAACTCCACCGCAAGGCTTGCCCATTTGACCAGACCACTATCAATACAGACATTGAGCTCCTCCCTGTGAACTCAGCATTGCTACAGCTAGTGGGTGCTCAGGTAAGGTGATTGACTTAATACTTTTTAATTTGTGGTGTATGTTTTCCTCTTGAGAGAAATGTGTTGAATTAAAACTGAGTAATGTTGTCTTCTGTGTGAGTATAATTCTTTATTGTACAAATCCTTTATTTTGGTATGTTAGATTTATTAGTCCATAGTTTTTCAGTTGTAATACAGAAACGTCCATTTCATCTTGTGGCTTGGTTTTCAACAATCCTAGCTATATGGATTAGGAAAGAAACCTAGGAGGTTAGTAATAAGGACTTAACATTGAGGAAAATAGTCATAAAACCTTGTACTTTACTCAGTGGGAAAGATAAAGCTGCTTCAGACAGTTTTACTTATTAGAAACTAATTGGAATGAAAGATGAGAAAGGTGACAAAAGTATCAAGTGCAGCATTTGTGAACAGTTTATTTAGAATAGAAGCAATGTCCTGGGTACGTGAATCTGGCAGTTCTGGAGGTAATTGAAAATTTTATGTAAGTATTCCCAAACTAGAGATCAGTGTCCTCACAAGATTTAAAGCCAAGATAAACAAATTTTTAGAAGCATTTATTTAGACAGTCCTCACTATTTTGTACAGTGTGAGTCTTAAGTCCCATATGTTTATCATAAGTTAAAGATTAGTCTTCTATAAATTGTTAAAACACGGCAAAGGTTGATATTACGTATGTTGGAGAAAAAGGCAGCTGTTCTAGAATAGCTTATTCAAAAGAAAAATTTACTTTATTTATGAGCCTATCTTGATGTCACCAACAGCACTGCTAAATATTTGTCAAAAAGGAAAATGGATTTGATCTTTTTTGTTTTCTTGTAATTAATTTTTTTTTCTGGTACTGGTGATCAAACTCAGGACCTTGCGCATGTTGGGCAGGCACTGTCCCGCTGAGCTACATCCCTGGCTCCTGTAATTAATTCATCTTATAATCATTTTCTTTGTATTTTGAAAATTATAGTATGTTTTGGAAAGAAAATAGATTGATTGAGGATAATAGTTTTAGAAATATCTGGTATTTTAATGCCAGATAACTGAGCTTGGCTTTTTTACATAAAGTTGTCTAAGAATAAACTAATTCTTTTTCCACAAAATGGCTGAGACTTCCTATCTTCAATGAAACAGCTAATGTTTATGGAACTTGAAGACAGGACATTTTAGTGTACAGTAGTCATTATTTTAACCTTAAAGATCCTATTAAAAAGCCATTAGCCAGGCTTGGTGGTGCACACTTGTAATCCCAGCACTTGGGAAGCTGAGGCAGGAGAATCACAGTGAGTTCAAGGCCATCCTGAACTACACAGTGAGACTGTCTCAAAAACAAACAAAAAAAGCAATTAGAACTGAAGAATAAATTCAGCAGAATTACAAATACAAAATCAACATGCTTCCGGGGATGGTGGCGCATGCCTGTAATCCCAGCACTCAGGAGGTTGAGGCAGCCTGGCTACATAGTGAGACCTTGTCTCAAAAAAAAAAAAAAATTTGCTGGGTGTAGTGCTGGATGTAATCCCAGCACTTGGAAGGCTGAGGCCAGAGGATTACCACAAGTTCAAGGGCTGCATGGGATACGCAAGGTGAGTTCAAGGCCAGCCCCCACTGCATAGTGAGACTTTGCAGGTGAATAAATGGAAAGATATAAAGTGTTTATTCATTGGCATATGTAATTCTCATGGCAATACTACTCAAAGCAGTCTACATATTTAGTGAAAGACCTATCAAAATTCCAATGATGTTTTCAATTAATTTTTTCCCTTTTTGTGTATGTGTTTGGTAGTAGGAATTGTAGTAGGGCCTGTATGTGTTCTGCCACTTTAGCACTGAACCACATTTTCAGCCCTTAAGTTTATTGTTTTATTTTATTTTTTTTGGTACCGGGAATCGAACTTGGGACCTTTCGCTTGCGAGGCAGGCGGCAGAACCACTGAGCTAAATCCCTGGCCCATTAAGTTTATTTTTTAAAATAAACATTTTAAACATTTGTTTTTTAAAACAAAAATTTGTTGCTGGGCATGGTGGCACACACTTGTAATCCTAGCGCTCTGAGAGGCTGCAGTTGGAGAATCTCAAATTCAGAAACAGCATGGGCAACTTATAGACTTAGCGAGACCCCAACTTAAGTTTTTAAAAGGTTGGGAATGTGGCTCAGTGCTAAGTCCCTGGGTTCAATCCCCCATACTGCAAAAGAAAAAGAAAAATTAATTGGAACTTTACCTTCCACCACGTACAAACATTAACTCAAAATCGATCAAAGACCTATGAGTTAAAACTATTAAATTCTTAGAAGAAAATACAAGAGAAAGTCTCCATGACCTTTAACTTCACAATGATTTTTTAGATACAGTACAAGAAGTATAGGCAGTAAAAGAGAAAAGAAATTGATGAATTGGAAGTCACCAAAAATAAAAACGTGTATCAGAAGACATGTCAAGAAATTGAAAAGACAACCCACAAAATGAGAGAGGGTAATTATAAATCATGTCTGACAAGGGATTCCGATGCATGCTGCAACATGGATGAATCTTAAAAGCATTCTAAGTGAAATAAATCAGATAAAAAATGATGCATATGTTTCTGCCTATCTAGAATAGGTAAAGACTCAAAGAACAGAGATTACCAAGGGCCAAAGGAATGAGGAGTTTATTACTTAATGAGTATAGAGTTGTTATGGTGAAAATTTCTGGAAATATTGGTAATACTTATATAAGGTGAGCATATTTAATGTAGTATACACCTTAAAATGTCTAAAACGGTAAATTTTGTTACACATTTTATCACTATAAAAAGTTAAAAATATACCATCACCAAGTGAGTTTTGTCCCAAAAATGCAAAGTTGGTTTAACATTTAAAAACCGATTCATATCAATCAATACACCATAACAATAGAATTTTTTTTAAATGTACCTACTTAGTCATCTCAATGGACACAGAAAAGGTACTTGGCAAAATTCAGCACCCTTTCATGATAAAAAATACCCAAGAAACTAGGAAAAGAAGAACGCTTCTGAAAAATCCACAGCTGATATCATACTTGATGGTGAAAGACTAGATGCTTTCCCTGTAGAATTAAGAACAAGGCAAGAATCTCTGCTCACTACTTCTAGTCAGCATTTAGGAGGTGAAAAAAAAATCAATTCCCTTTACATAAAATCAAAATAAATAAAATATTAGGAATGTACTTAAACGAAGTACAAAAGTAGTCAGATGTGGGGTGTGCCTGTAATCCCATCACTGAGAAGCTGAGGCAGGATTGTAAGTTCAAGCCCAGACCAGGCAATTTAGCCACTTAGCCAAGACCCTGTCTCAAAGAAAAAATTAGAAAAGGGCTGGAAATGTAGCTCAAAGGCCCTGAGTTCAGTATCCATTACCACTTTTTAAAAAATGTAAAATTAGAGGGCCGGGATTTAGCTCAGTGGTGCCACTGTGTGCCTTGAAAATGCAAGGTCCTGAGTTCGATCCCAGATACCAAAAAAAAAAAAAGAAAAGAAAAGAAAGAAAGTGTGTTTATGGGCCCGGAGATTTAGCTCAGTGGTGCTGCCACCTGCCTCACAACCGCAAGGTACCGAGTTCGATCCCTGATACCAAAAAAAAAAGTAAAATTATGCTTTGATAGCTACAAATATTTTTGAAAAATTTAAAAGCCCAAATAAACATTTACTCATGATTCAAAGGCTAAATGTAAAAGATAATGTGTAATGTAAACTGTGTAATTCTTGGAAGAAAATAGAACCACATGTCTTCATGATTTGGGGGTAGGCAGTGTCTTGGGTTTGTTTGTTCGTTCCTTTGTTCCTTTGAAGATTTGTCACTGAAAACACCAAGAACAACAAGAAAAAGATAAACTTCATAAAAATTAAAAACTTTCAAAGATGCTGTCAAGAAAGTGACAGAACAAACTACAGAAGGAAGGGTGATAGTAAAATCATATATCTAGTAAAGGATTTGTATCTAGAATATGTACATGAGTTTATGACTCAATTAAAATGATAAAATATCCAATTAAAAATGGGTAGAGTTCTAAATAGGCACCTCATCAAAGAAGATATGCAGATGACAAATGAGCAAATGAAAGGTTGTGCAGCAGTTGTCCTTAGGAATTGTAAGATAAAATAACAATGAGATAGCGCTGTATACCAGTTAGAACAGCTGATATCCAGAACATTGACAACAGATGCTGAAGATGCATGGAGCTACAGATACTTTTCATTCTTCACTGCTGGGAATGAAAAACTCATAAAACCACTTTGGGATAAAAGTTTGGCAGTTTCTTACTAAATTTAAGATGAGCATTAGCCCATCTGATTAGAAAACTTAAAACTTACACAAACAGCTCTCATGACTGTTTGTCTCACTTTGTAGTTCAGGCTGGCTTTGAATTCATTATGTAGCCAAGGCTGGCCTCAAACTCAGTGGCAGTCCTCCTGCCTCAGCCTCCCAAGTGCTGGGATTATGGGGGTGCTCCATCATGCCTGTCCCTCATGACTGTTTTACCAGGTTTGTTCAGTAAGTGAATGGATACACAAACAGTGGTATATCCATGCAATTGGAATATTGTAGAAAATGAAAGAATTAAAAAATAGCTGTTAAGCCATGAAAAGACATAGATAAATACCACATATATTACTTAGTGAAAGATATTACTTACTGAAAGACTCTGAAAAGGATACATATTATATGATTCCAATTATATGATATTCTGTAAATGGCAAAAAAAAATAACAGCAATAAAAATACTAGTGGTTGCTGGGTGTTCAAGAGGAATGGAGGATTGAATTGGTTGAAGCACAGGATTTTTTTTTTTTTTTTGAGCTAAACCCCCAGCCCCACAGGATATTTCTTAGGGCAGTGAAACTGTATATGAATCTGTAATTGTGGATATATGACACTCTGCATTGGTTAAAACCCATAAAACTTTACAAAGAGTATGGATAATAGTCTGAAATATATGAAATTACTGAAAGGGATAGGGAGGAAAGGTGCTAAGTTAAGTAACTTTAGATAC